CAATTCCCGGTTTGCAATTCCCGGTTTGCAATTCCCGGTTTGCAATTCTCGGTTTGCAATTCTCGGTTTGCAATTCTCGGTTTCCAATTCTCGGTTTCCGGTTTCCGGTTTCCAATTCTCGGCTCTCGGTTTCCAATTCTCGGTTTTTTACGCCCTGGCCAAAGCTTAACTTGATAGTCCTTCTTTCTTGCGTGATAAATTTTCTTTCAGATTTTCGATCAGCTCCTCAAGGCTATTGATTCAAGGCAAGTTTCAACATTCTGCTAAGATCTCGCTCAGCGTTACCAAGAACCCATGAATGTAAGAAAAAACTCTCGCAGCCGCAAAATCGACATCTACCGTGGCGACGACCCGTTTATCAAGGGCCGGGAACACCTTTGGATCGCGGAGAACCAGTCTCACGCTTTGGAGCACGAAACCACCAAGCGAAAAAAGAAGCTCCTGAACGGCAACAACTGGCAGCGGCACTGGGGGCGCGTGCCGTCGAAGACGCGACGGCCGGCGCCCAGGTATTGTGAGGAAAAATCCTCCCTCCCCATATCGAAAAGGCGTGCTTTTCAAAATTTGCGATGCTGATTTGTGGCCACAAATCGAGTCCGTCTTGATGCAAGAGAGCAAAGCCATGGCTTCCGCTGCAGTTCGCGGGCGATTTGTTATGCTGCTACGCTACTAGGGCAGACATCTGCTATCCTAGGCGCCTACCCAAGCCACCCCTTTCCGGGCTTTGTATCTGTCTGTAGTTCTCCACCGCAAGACAAATCCGATTTGTGTACACAAATCCTGCATCACAGATTTCCACCTCGATATGGGGAGGGGGGATTTTTCCTGTTGATACCAGGCTCATCATGAACATGAAGTACACCGACGTCATCAACCTGACCATATGGATTGCGAAAATGTCTGGGTCTGGAAGAGTGCAATTTGTCATGCTAAATCCGAATCATGCAAAAATCTGTGGTGCATGAGTGCCAAAAGCTGGCCACTTTCGACCAAGTTGGGAGGGAGTTTCTCATGCAGGAGAGGCATGAAAGGACCTCACAGACTCTGTCACGCTAGGTCCCGCACTCCAGACCGCAAGAGTCATGGAAGACCTGCGTGACAAGTTCACACTCTTCCACACCCAGACAGTTTTGCTTTCCATAGACCAGAAAGGACACCAACATCTTTTTTCCGATGGGCACTGCGAAAAAACACGAGGACTCCACGGACTCCCAAATGTTCGCTTCGGGAAAACGGTGCCATTCCCGCGAGGGCAGGGACCTCGGCGACGACACGAAGGGCGGCGCGAAAGTCCGGTCGCAGAGCGAGTTTGCGGTAGAATAGTGATTTGTTTCATTTTCAAGGGGGAAGGAATAATGATAATAGAAAAAAGATTGTATACTGTTACTGATTTATTTGTCAACATGCATGGAGGGTCAGGGTGGACCTCAACAACAATTCGCTCCTTTGACGTGTGCGTGCGTCTTCGCATAGGTGTCTCTTGATATTTTTGTACGGCTGTGAAACGAGCCCAAATTATGAAATCCATTACAACAATTCCAGGACGACTCGAAACTGGTTCCGTGGGACATTTCGCAGCCACGAGACTGGAACGACACGAAAAAGGACGTGATGCGTGCGACCGGGTCCACATACGTTTCCTCCGGGGTCGACAACTCCAACCGCACCACTCGGACGCCTATGCAAGAACGCAAAAGCTTCGCACGACAACTGTGCAAATTGCATTTAACAAATGTTTTTCGCTCAAACGAAAAGTTGTCATGCTGTGTCAGGCATCGTCATCAAAAGGGGTCCTACTCCTACCATGCACTGTGGCAATTTCGTTTTCGGTTTGTTACACAACAAGTTGTGCGATGCTTTTGCCCAGGATGACGGAGTTTCGGGAGACGCAGTCCGACTTTTCAAAGTCCATGTCCAACTTTCGGAAAACAATGTAGAAGCTGTGAAAGAGATCGAGGGGCTTTCATTCTTCTTTCTGCCCAGAAGTCACTTATTTTCGGAGCTTGTTTTGCATGTATTCTGTTTCTGTTTAGCATAAGCATTTTTGTCGGGCTCGGGGGGAGCTATTTCAACCTTGTATCAAATTTGACCTGTTTAAGATCTCAATTTTATGTATCCTATCTTCATCAACGTTTCTAGTTTCTCTCAGCACCAGCTTACACATACAATAAATTTTCACAGATGATTCAATAACAAGTTTTCGCAAATTTTTTTCGCAGGTTTATACCATTTCCATTTGTTTGCCACTTTACTACCAGGGATGCGGAGAAACTACTACAGTAGGTTTCAACTGTATCCATTCCGTGTTTATGGTTGATTACGCAAGAAACACGACAGATTTATTTCAAAGAAACTAAAAACGACATTCTGTTCAGATTTTTGGGCGAGGAAAAGAGAAATCCCTTTCTCCTGTACACAACAAGAACATTTCTTTGCGGCCGGGTCGCACGCTCGTTGTATACCTCCAGACCGACGCTCCTGTACACTAGGCTTGTCTACTTGTAGACGAGGGTTCATTGGGTTTCCTAACGTGCACAAATTTTTGAGAAGAGCAGCCCGCTGCAAAAAGTTCCATCAGCACACTGTCTTTCTTTTGGTGACGGGCGACGGATTGGCCGCAACAGTTCCGGTCTACTGTCGTTACGGTGTTCGTTTTTGTGTTGTCAACAGTATGTTGGAAATGGTCTAGTAGATGTTGAAAATTGTAGTTTCGATCACAACATCGACCTCCTGCAGGCAGAAATTCAAAAATGCCAGCGCTTGTGCGGCTCCAAGATGTCAAACGCAATTTTCTGAACTTTTCTGGTGGCGGCAGTGCTAGTAGTGCCGTTTGTGCCTGAGATGAAACAAGAATTTTGAACAACTTCTACTTTTTATATTGTTTTATTTCACAGACACAGGGTGGACGTTGTGTGCGGATATGGATTTAGTAAAATTTTTAGTGTGGTCGCTGTCTAGTCTGGTAAAAGTTAAGATTTGGATCGTGTGCCGGGAAGAAATTTCGTGCAGTGTGTCCGAAGTGCACACCTACACGACAAACTACTTTAGACGAAACTGCTGTGTACTACTACTACTAAAGCTAAAGTAAGTATGCAGTAGAAGGATTTTTGTCGTCTCAACGACCTCTCCATCATGTCGTGACACTGTAGGGATCCAGTAATAGGTTTTTACAGCAGGGATCAGCATGGCCATGCCGATGTCTACCACTTCCAGACACTGCAGCATGGCGGGGTCGTTCTCAGTGCAAGAACGTGTGGGGAGGACCTCGAGTGCTTTTTCAACATCCCTTCTGGCGACATCACAACTGCTACTCTTCGCTTTCTCTCTCTACAGCCTCATCCCCAGCACGAGCGATGTCCTCGTTGCCGCCCTGTCCTCCGAGGAGTTGCAAAACGTCGCCTGCGACCTGCAGAGCTTCATCGTCGAGGAGCCCGCGACGAAAGCACACCTACTGGAAGTGCTCTCCCAATGGGACGCGCACGCGGAAATGCAAGTGTTGGTCTTCAACGGCCACTTTGCCACGGGGAAGACGTACATCAGCAACATACTCGCGAAAGCGTTGGAGAACATCGACGTCGGTGGCGGAAATGTCGACCTGGAAACAAAATTCGGGGCCGGCGGTGCGACGCTGGACAGTAGCTCCAGCGGGGGAGCTGGAGGGGCAAACGACGGCGCGGACCACCTGAACGGCAGGGGAGCAACATCTTCAGGGGCCTCTAGCAAAACTTCCAGCAATGGAGATCATAGTGGAAATAAAGCAGCTGCTACACCCACGAACATCATGTCCACCACGGCGCAGACCGCCTCGACGTCCTCCTCTCACGTTGCGATTTTCGTGACCGAGGACAGTTTTATCTCCTCCGAGCAGTTTTATCTGAAAATCGATGACATTCTGAACACGGGCGCCGGGGATCGCATGAAGATCATCGTGTTTGACGACCTTCCCTGTTGGCGGGAGACGGAAAGGATAACTCGCGTGTTGACCAGGTGCATGCAGTTCAGCAACAAGTGCCGGGGCACACTGTTCGTGATCACCAGCAACGACGGCTGGTGTGCGGACGACTACTGCAACCGAAATAGCGATCTAGATAGGCAATTTGACGACCTGACAGAGACTTTCACCGGAAATCTGAAGCAACTGTTAACTTCTAGCAGTAGTGGTGGATCTGCAAGAGTAGACCACGGGGAGGCCACATCGACACAACACGCTGCGTCGGTCGCCACGACACGCACCCAAGATCTAGTGCGCACAAGGTGTCGTGACGTACCGCAAATGCCGGAGAGGTTGCGGAAGCTGTTCGCTTCAGCGAAGAGAGGAACAAACTCTGATAAATCATCTTCCACCGGCGACATTTCTGAAATGCAACTTTTTGCCGCCACGGAGAGCTTGCAGTCCTGCGCGCTCCCGGGAATTTCGTTATCCCGGGAAGAGTGTGAATACCGGGGATGCTGCTGTGTAAACGAGGATATCGAATGCAAATCTGTCTGGGTCTGGAAGGATGCGAACTTGTGATGCGCATTTCACATGACTCAAAAATCTGTCATGCATGGAAGCCAAAAGCTGCAGTGCACATTTCTGGCCACCGAAAGAAGGGCCTTGCCATGCGGGTTACGCATTAAGAGACCTTCTGAAAACCTGTGATGCTGGGGCGTGCATGGTAGCCCTTCTGGGTCATGCCAAAGCTGCATCACAAACCTCTGCATCCTTGCAGACCCAGACATTTTTACTCTTGATAGAGGAGCTTGACCAGGACCACCTTCACGGAGCTGGTTCATCAGGCACGGATGCCGATTCTACAGGCAGTGCCAGCAGTGTCAAAAATGGTAAAAACAATATGAAAAACAACAGACATCACTCTCAACAGCAGATCGACGCTATCCCACAGAAAAAAGCTGGCAGGGCATTTTTGTAATGCGAAAATAAATACACAGAAAAGTCTGTCATGGGCGGCCTCATAGCATGCTGTTTAGGATACGCAATACAGATTTTTCTCTGTATTTATTTTTGCATTACAAATGTGACCTGCCAGCTTTTTTCTGTGGGATAGAGGCCAACCGGTGCGACTTTTGCGGGTTGGAAAAATCCTCGGAGGTGACCCAGGCCCACCTCCGAACCGCCTCCGCAGCCCGGTCCGGTCGCTACATTGCGAAGGGCTTGTCGGAGTTCCCCCACTTCGTTGTGCTCGGCGCGAATGGGATGATTTTTCAGCAGGAAGCGTGGGACCACTGGGGCAAACTCGCGGAGCGGATGCTGATCCAGAGCTTTCTCGAGGACGATTTGCCGCGGTTGCTTTCCTCCCAAATGGACCACGCGAAACGGAACTACAACTTGAATCTCGAAATTTTGGTCAACTGGGACGTGGACTACCCCCGGGAATTCGCGAAGGCGGGCATCGAGGAGGTGGTCGCGGGCGAGGCGCCGCGGAATTTGCGAACCAGCATCAAGAAGCTCGTCCGCGGCGACGTCAAGTCCCAGTGCCTCGGTGGGGTGTGCTTTTTACTGAAAACGAAGATCCAACAACTGCTGATGCGGCAGGAGCAGCTGTACGCAGCGAAAAAGGAGAAGAACGGAGGTTCAACTGTATCCTATGTAAAAACGCGCCCACACCATAGTCAAGATGGGGAATCGGCTAGACAAATCCACAAGTTTTGGCTGTTTTGCATGACAAATTTGGATTCGTGGTGTAGTGCTGTTTGAGCTAGCTCAGCAGCATCACAGATCTAGCATACCATTCTGATTGGAGCATGACAAATCGCAAAACACGATTGGAAAATGCTTCTCATGGGGCTCCGCATCAGAAACATTTTTAGCATGCAGATTTGCATTACAACTATGGGGTGGGGGCGTTGTTAAATAGGATAACCTGTCTCCGCCCCCCGCCGCGCCGCGAAGTCCGCCTGGAACACGCTGTCGGGCACGCCGACCGGGGAGAAAATTGCCCTGGCGGTCTTTCTATGCACTGCAAAAATGTCTGGGTCTGGAAGGATGGAACTTGTAATGCTAATTCTGGATTGTGCAAAAATCTGTGTTGCATGAATGCCAAAAGTTGTCCACTTTTGACCAAGTTGAGAGGAAGTGTCTCATGCAGGATAGGCATGATAGGAGTCTCACAGAATCTGTCATGCTAGGGCCTGCATTCCAGACGATATAGTTCATGCACAATCTGCATGACGAGTCTCACAATCTTCCAGACCCAGACATTTTTGCATTTGATACTTTCTCGCGCCGACGGAAACCAACCCGGCGCAGGTGGCGGCGCTGTCGCTCCGGGCGGAGGTCAAGTCGGACACGATGGAGAACAAACACGTGGTGGACGTGCAGAAATTCGTCGGGGACGGCTTGGGTTTTCACCTCAGACAGCTGTTTCACTGGGGCTTCGCGGATTTAATAACACTGCTCGTGAGGAAAAGAAGACCGGAGGTCGCGCTGAACGTGTTGGCGGGCGGTGGAACTACATCAGACGGTTCGTCATCATCATCCTCTTCCGTTGTTGATCCTGGTACCAATGGTGTAGTACCTCCGGAGCAAGGAACAGCCGCCAACTTTCGACCCACTTCGCTGCCCCAGATGCTGAAGCACGACGGCAAGCTGCTCCGGGAGCAAATTGAGGAGATCGAAAAAAGCTGGACTTCGGACTGTCCACACCTCCGGTTGTACGACGTGAAGGTGATGCTCCCAACGAGTCTGCCCGCGGAGTGCTCGGCGGACGAACGAACTGCTAGTGGGTCAAGATATGCATTGCAAATTTGTCTGGGTCTGGAAAGAATGGGATTTGTGATGCTAACTGACGACGATAGAAAAAGCTGTATTGCGTGAGCAGCAAAAGGCGTTAAATTTTTGCCACCCGGAGAGGGTATTAGTTTCTCATGCGGAATAGGCATTAGCAAGGCTTTGCAAGAACTGTGATGCTAAAGCATGCATTACAGGCATCGCGGGTCATGTACAATTGTGCATGACAAACTCCTCGAATCTTGCAGACCCAGACATATTTGCACTCGATACAAGAATAAATTCGGCAATGAATGAGCAGTACCGGATTCTCTCCCCGCAGTGTCACTTCGGGAACAAGGACGAGCATTTTTGCGGGCAAAACTATGCATTGCAAAAGTATCCTCCTAGTATAAATCGCAATACAAATTTTTCCAGAAGGAAAAATGGAATTTTTAATGCTGATTTCGCTAAGCAACAAGAATTGTCATGCATGATTGCAATTAGTACTACGAGTGCGGTACTTTTGCACAGGATAAAAACCACGGGACGACAATTAAGCGGAACCCCTTCTACGGCTCCATTCTGGTGCAGTTTCGCGGGCACCCGATTTGGAAGGTGCACAAATGGTTGACGAGGTCGGAGCGGGAACGGGACTGCGACAACTACGTCGCGGACAAATGGATCTACGTGAAGCAGGTCCTGGTCGTCCCGGAATGGCGACACACCATGTCCGCTGCGGTTGGGGACGAAGTGTCGGCAGGAGCTTCGTCGCAGCAGCACGCCGTCAAAGCGCCGGAGATCGCGTCGGAAAGTAAGCTCGGGTGTTTGAAGGAAAGGGGTCCTCGTGGGCACGATCAGGGGGGAATGGGAGGTGGTAGTGGTGCTGGTGGTGGATCAATGCACGGTACTCCCGCATCTTCAGAAAGTAAATCTTCATCTCACACTGGAGGTGCAAGAACAGAACTTTAGGAACCAGCACGAGCTGATGTCGATGTCCACAACATCATCCTGATTTGATTTTGCAATGAAGCGACAGAATGTGACAAAGCAAATTTTTCAACGAAAAAACAGAAACATCGAATGGCATAGCTGAGCTTGTGCTTTTCTACATTCGGTCATGGCCAATGGTTGTGGACTTGAAATATGGGAATTAATATTAAAGTTCCCGAATTTGGAACGCTTTCGTAAACGCAGTTTCTCCACTGCGGCTTCGTATGTATCGTGCTTTCTAATTATGATCTGATGTGTCCAGTATGCTGGATTTTGAGAGCTGCATGAGAGTCGTTTCGGTCTTGCTAGCACATCCATAGAGCTGCAAGCACTTGTACTTAACTCGTTAAGCGAGCAGGAGTGAAGATGCCGTGATTGTCGAAAGCAATTCGTATGTGTCGTAGTCGCTTCCTTCCTTGTCGTTTTGCTGCTGCATGGGATAAGTACTCGACGCTCGTACGTTCGATAACAGTGTGAGTCTTCTACTTCTTTTTCATCGGAAGTTCCGAAGATCGCGACCGTTATGGCTCGGTCCTTGCTTTTGTTTGAGGCTTCAAGTTCAACATTAGAAAGCATAAAGCGAATCTTGTTGGTCTTCTTGATGCAGCTTCTAAAAATATTTCAAAGAAATGATCGTCTCCAAACACCACACACCCGCTGACGTGCGGCGCATTTTGTTCCAGGAAACGCCGGAATTGCGCACGCAACCACGGGAATTTTTCAACATCACCGGGAAAGCTTTTCTCCGCATTCGGGAGGAAAAGGACATCGGTTTCGTCTTCGGCCAGACCATCGAAGACTCCTTGCCGCACCACGAAACAGTATGAGCTGCAAAAGTATCGTACTAGTAGTAATTGCAGTACAAATTAGCTCAGCATCACAAATGGAATTTGTCATGCTGTTTTACCTTGGGATGGAGATTTGTAATGCATGATCGGGATTACTTTTGCACAGGATAAACAGAAGACATCGACGACATCAAGTACCGCCTACTCCTCCTCTCTTCCCGGTCCCGACGCCAAGCACTCCGGTCGCAGCTAGAGGGCTCCGGGCTGGCCGAAGCGTTTGAAAAGGCGAGCTTGATTGCGGGGGGATCTGGGATCATGCCGTTGTTTTCCTCGCCGCCAGTGGCCGGGACGAAGAACATTGAACAGGAACATCTTCAAGACTTGAACACAGAAGATGATGACACCCCAAGAAAAGACGATGCTGCGCAAGGGCGACAGCAGGCCGAAGATGAAGTGGACTCGGTACAAGATAGCGGCGCGACACAAGTTGACAAAATGATAAATTCCGCTGCGGTGAAGAAAAAGAGCCGGCTGTCTCTGATGAAGCGCGGTCGGGCAAGTGGCATCGGAGTGAGCGGTTTGGAGCAGTACTACAACAGCAGTAGTTCATCACCTGGCGTACTTTTGGTCGGCAACAGCCCAGCCTCGAGCTCCACGTCGCCCGTGATGAACAAGAAAATGATGGTGAAAACAAGCGCGCGAAGCTCGGTTTCTAGTGCAGGCGCGACGTCAACCCGGAGGCCGCTAGCAGGATCTACTTCAGACGCCGGGCACTACCAGGGCACGAAGTTTTTGTACTTTCCGGAAAAGCGGCGCGCGTCTGGAACTACAACTGGTCCTCGCGCATCGAGGAAGAGCGGGACGACCACGACTCCAGTAGCTGCCACAAAGAACACGAGAAACTCCGCACGGTCTTCCCAAGTGACCGGAATGAATCGTCCGAACGGCCGCGGCGCTCCGAAGGCGAAAGCTCAGCGGCCACTGACACTCGCGGAGAAGCAGCGGCAGCTGGCTCGGGAGGAGGCAGTGAGGGTGAAAATGATGGGCACCATGCTTGGCGGGCTGCGGGGCGCGGAACTTCTAGGGAACGCTGACAATCCTGCTCTACGGTATGATGTTGACCAAGACAACGAAGTGAGTGACAGGACCGGCCCTCCGGGGTCAACATCTCCTCCAGGAAACAACAACAACAAAAACACCACTCAGCGCCAGCGCCGCACTATTACCCGCGAGGAAAAGGAGGAGCAACTACGGCAGAGCAACCTGGTCAAAAATACGAACAAGTTCTCCGACGGGCTCGCAGGCACGAGTTTGGAGTTCAATACGAGTTATAATCGCGAAGTAGATGTTGGAGCCGCTGCTGCAAGGTCGAGGAGTCAGGCTTTCACGACGTCGTCAAAAGGACCAGCAAACCAGCTGAAGTCTCAATTGGCGAAGCACATTCACGTTGCGTCTCTACCAGATTTTAAAGTGTACTTCTGCCACGAGTGCGTGATGAAACACGACGACGCGAAGTTGCGAAACGTGCTGGAGAGGGCGTTTCATCAAGGAAAGGTAGATGTTTTTTTTTAGGTAGAAATTCTGTGATGCTGTAAATCTTTGAGAGGTGCTTTTTCTTTTTGTCATGCCCATGAGTGCAATCGCGCTTGAGATTGTCAGGAATATAAAGCAAGTCATCAAAAAATCAGATTGATTTGCAAACCGATGCCGCGTGCAACCAGGACTGCATTCAGTGCCGCAAGCTTCTGAACACGAAAGCGGTCGTCGACTCCGTCTTTCCATCGGAGTTGAAGGACTGCCTCACGTCGGCAGACGCTTTCAACGAGTGGATCCGGCAAAACCGGAACAAAGCCAGCTCCTCCCACACGGGGAACCTGCTCGGCCCCGATGTCTACACCGCCTCGGCGTTTTTGCAGCACCACAGGAAGTCCGCGCGGTTGGGGGACAAACTTCTCGGCGGGTGGCGACACCGGGAGGACACGTTGCAACTGACCACCGCGACGGGGAACGATGGGCAGCCGGTGTCCGTCGTGATGAGCACGCACGACCGAGAGTTCAGCACCGGGCACGGAAACAACCCGAACAACACCGCCGGCGCGATGCACGCCACCGGGGCAGCCCGGTCCAACGTGACCACCCGGTATCACCCGCATTTGTCGGTGCAGCGGTCGGCGGCGGAAGCCTACGACATGGCCAAAGCAGTGTTGGCGAACGACGAGCCGTACTTTGGCGAAGGTGAGAACGAAAGGGGGGTGTTTGATCAGCAGCAAGGGCAAGGGGCGGTCGTACTAGGGGCAAGAACTGCAGCTGCCGGAGGTGATGCATCTGGACCTACACATCAACAAGCAGAGCGCGTGTACCTCTTGAACCTGAACCCGCAGACCTGGGTTTCCCGCGCACCGGACTTTTTGGTAGAAATACTCGCCAAGGACAAGAAGCTCGGGCAGGGAAAATACCTCCCGAACGTGACCCACTTGAAAACGGCGGGCAGGACGCCGGAGGAGGTGCACATGTGCAACTTCCGGGTCGCGGAGAAGACGGTGAACGAGGTGGAACTTCTGTGCTCTGTATGAGAGTGACTCCCCCTCCCCCGGATTTGTCATGCAAAACCCCAAATGCAAGAGCTTACCTTTGGCACTGTTTGCATGACAGATTCCGGAAGCCCAAACAGTACTACACTAGGCGCATGAATTTGTCATGCACAAGCTCCGCGTGTGCTGGTGTTTGTATTGCTGTCCATGCAATACAAATGAGGGGGAGGGGGGGTTGTGCACTCTCATACTCTGCGCAGATGTTCGACAGAGCGTCCACCCTGCTTACCGATGGACTCACGTACGAAAAACAGGGACTACTGCGGAAAGAGGCGACCTATCCTGTGCAAAAGTATCGTACTCGTAGTAATTGCAAACATGCATTAATACAAATCTCCATCCCAAGGTAAAACAGCATGACAAATTCCATTTGTCATGCTGAGGCGATTTGTAATGCAATTACTACGTAGTATGTTTGTTACTTTTGCAATGCATACGACCTGCATCCGGTTGATTTTTCTCCGAATCACTCTGGCGGAACCCCATGCCGCGACCATCGAGCCGCCGTTTACCGTCAGGGTCAGTATGCGGCCGGCGTTCGGGGGCGAGGTTGTGCCGGTGTACGCGTCTGGACCAATTGCGGTCACGCACTCGAAGTTGATGACCAATCGGTTGTTAGGGCACGAGGGCCACGCGGCCGTCGCGGTGGACATCTTCATCCCGAAGGTGGAGGACGTGCCGTCGGCCCCGGAGGCAGATCCGTTCTTGGCCAGAGCCGCGACGCTGCGATCGAAAATGCTCTTTGAGAACGACACGAGGGCGAAGCCAGGTATGATAGGGCATCGATTTAGTTTGGTTTTTTACCGTGACCACAACGACATTTTTGAATTTACGCTGGTGCATTGCCGAGGTACGTGCCAACTGGTATAATTCCTCATTCATCCAAACCACAGGCAGCAAGTCCTTGTCGATGGGCCGTGTGTTCGAGTACGGCGGCGACTTGAAAGAATTCCCCTGCCTCCGCGACCTGGAAGCCTGGTTTCACTTGATCCAGTGGCACAAAATTCGGGCGGCGACGGAGGCGAACGCCATGCCGTACTTGTTCCCCATTCACCTCCCAACCTTCCGTTCCGACGAGGATTTTGTCGTCTCTATTCTGAGTAAAAACGTCCCCACCCCAGAGTTCTCATGCAAATCTGCATGCCAAAAAAGTTTCTCATGCGGAACCCCATGAGAACCATTTTTAGTCGTGTTTGGGAATTTGTGATGCTAGAATCAGCATGATATGCTAGATCTGTTATGCTTTTGAACAAGCTAAACTAACAGGATTACACTACGAAGACAAACTTGTCATGCGAAACAACCAAAGCTGGTGGATTTGTATAGCAGATTTCGCAACATCTTGACTGTGGTGTGGGGACGTTTTTCCTCAGGATAGTCCCTCCGGAAGTCGTGTCCCTCCTCCGCGACGATGTCGCCTGGCAGGAGGCGTACAGCCGGTGCGTGGAGATGGTGGTAGGCGCCTGGGGCTACGACCTCCTACAGAACCGGACCACCTGGCGCGTGGACCATAGTTCTAATCGCGCGAATGTAGACGATAAAGTGCTGAACAGTCGGGAGCTCCGCGGGTTCCATCCGGGGGGCTCTGGGAGACACCAGTACAGTCCGGACAGTTGGAAACTGAGGCACTTGCTGTTGTCTCTGCGCACGTTCAAAATCGGGAAGTTATACGAGATCGTCAGCGAAATCGGGCAGGATCTACTGCGAGACGGGGTTCTGTTGAATCTGAAAGACCAGGGCCTGGAGGAAGCCTTGCATGCGAACAAGAAGGACATCCACGTCGCGCGGGTGTGGTTGGAAAGTAAGTTGTGGGAGGACTACCACAAGAAATGGATACCGTCGTTAGAAGAGTTGTTGTTCGTGCCGCTGGGGAAATAGTGTCTTGTAAGATTTGAATGAGAACAATTTCAACAATATTGTGAAAGCGAGGACACGACCTACCGCATAAGATTCCACGACGGCAGGCAGCTGCAAAAGAAAAGCTATGAAATTTTTCCAAGAATCTGAATCAGAACGCTTTCAAAGAGCATAAGGACGCCGTCGCTTGACACGACTGAGTCTGAGACCGCGTTCCTCACGACTGTGCGTATGAGCCAAAAGACGTCAATGATGTGTTTCCGAACAAGGTCAGCACATCAGCTGCCCGCATTGGCATTTGCTCTCTGCAAGCACATGAAAAAGTTCTACATCTATTAGCGCACAACGAGCCCGATCGCGTCTTGATTGTGCGACTAACAAGTGCAGCAAGATGATCGTAGCCTATTGTATCTTGATAGGTCTTGTCCAGAGATGATCACAGTTCTTTGACATCAAGCGTCCAAGAAGGCCGCGAAGTTTCCAAGGTCTACACAAGCCACTTACCACTGAGGATCTTCCTTTCAAGCTCATTTTCTGCGCTACTGATTTACGTCGTGTAGCCCGAGCTTCGAACTGACAACCGCATGGTGGGAAAGATCCATTGAAGTAGTATTGCTAGTCACAACTTGAACTTTGCTCTTGCAGCGGCCAAAGAGCATGCCAATCTGGGATCTTGTTATAGCTGCAACTGAAGACAAGCTGGGCCTGCTATTGGTATGTGATATGCATGATCACTCACGTCGCTATGATATGCAATGACGATGTGTTTGTCCTCCACTCCACGTGGTTCTTGTTGCACAGATGAAAAGCGAAATACTATTCCAAAAAAACCAGCGACATCTTCAAATTTTTTGTCTGACGGCGCAAGCATAGGTCTTGACCTTAGCCTGTCGCTACTATTAACTGTAGTTTGAGATGATTGGAGTTGGACTATACTAGATTATATTATTCGCAAGACGAAGACATTTAGACATTGTAAAAATTGTTCTTGAAGTAGAACGAGTACGAAAATCACGCCTTTTCTGAAAAAGAACCCTCCTATGTTTAAACATTTTTTAGTGACGCATTAGAGAAGGAACTTGCCCGATATAATGGGCTGTGTTTCTTCTCCTGCTCCACCTACCACCTGCCTTAATATATCTCGCAGCTACCTCTATGAGAATTTGAACTTCTGAGAACTCCTTCATATCAATCTATCATATGCAGCCAAAGAGCGTAAATAGCAATTATGAATTCTGATCCTGTTTGTTGGCGACCCTTACAACCCTAGAGAAGCAAGGACCGTGTTACAGTTACGTGAAATATTCTCGAAGTTTTATCTCGTTTCCAACCCATATTTTGTGTCGTCACGAGCCTGCTGTATTTTTTTTTCGCACTCCTTCTTTATCAAAAAGTAAGCGCACTAGAACAAACGGTCAAGCGCAATCATCTCGCAGACTTTTTTTCTTGGAATACATCCTACAGTGGCGATTTTCTAGAAGACAGAACATCAACAATAGCCCTGAAGTGCTGTAGTTGCTGTTGCACAAAAAGTCTCCTTTCCGGTTTATTTCTGAACAAGCAGCACGACGGCAACGGCGGCCAAGAGCATCTTAGCATACCGCGTTCAGGTGGCTCAGGAATCTTCTATCGATAAACAGCCAAAACGGAGAAAGACCACAGGTGCCTTCTTGGCTCAGCGTCAGCAGCACCGACCGCAACGAAGGACCTGTTTCTGTCTTGGTGTAGTCCTAGTGAGTGCTTCTGGACTCGATCACAAACATTTTATGTCGCGTGCCAGTACGGCTACGGATTTCATTCGGAAGAGAAAGAGTTATATTATCCCACACGACCACTACAACATCTACCAGCTGCCCAGTCTCGCTTCAATTCAGTTGGCGTGCAGATCTGAATCTGCAGCGGCCGGCTGAATATCCCCCTTTTTACCCCTGATGCAGCACGCCGCCGCCTCCTCATCTTCATCACATTTATTCTCGAATAACAATAAAGCACGACAGGATCATCATCCGCTGCAGAAAGGAGCGGCGGACGACTTGCATCAAGAAGAACATCTTCAAAAGGGAGCTGGGAAAAGAAACAAGAAGGGAAATAACAAGAAGAAGAACTACCAAAATTGTTCACAGTCATCTGCTGCTGCACCGGTATTATTTCAAGAACAGAATTCACTTTTCGACGTGGTAGAACCTCCTCCGCAGGAAGTAAATAATAATCTGGAAGAACAAACTCCGGAAGAAGTAGCTTCTGTCTCGCGAGGTGGGCCGTTTCTTCCGCCTGAAGCAGATCCAGAAGTATTAACTGGCACGACTAGTAACCTCGAGGAGCAGAACACTTTCGGACACGTGATTAATCCCTTTGCACCCTTTCCTTTTCCGGTCCCGGGAGCAGCACCTGCTGCAGCTGGGGAAGTAGATCATTCGGATAAAGCAACAAGCGCGGATAATAGTAATATCGAAGCCCCCACAACCTCGAAGTCGAAAGAACAAGTGAACGATTCGGAAGTTGTATTCCTAGAGAACAAAGAACAAGAAAAAGTTGCGAAAAATTCCGCCCCTCCACGTGCGGAAAGCGAAATCAGGAACAACCTCGGGGAGCTTTATTGGGAAGGGAAAAGACGTCCTCAGCCACCATTTCTACAGGTAGGAGACCGCGAGCAACGAACAACCTCTCTACTTCAACACAGCACCGTCCTGATTGGCTCTGGTGCGAGCGCAGTACCGCGGCGGATCCCTCCTCCCGGGTTGACTGAGGACGACCTCAGCAGCATCGACGGGCGGCACGCGGCGATTGAAAGGGCGATCCAGGAGGGGCGACTTGTGCCGGAAAAGCACGACCCAGAAAATCCCTCGTGGTTGAAACTGAAAAAGCAGCACGGTTTTTTGCAGGCAAAGCACGAGAGGTTCATGAAGGAGAAACTGGAGAAAAAGTTTTTAGCTAAAAATTCAAAGAAGAACAACAGCTCTCGACGGCTGCATCAAAGACAACTGGAAGTAGAAGTAGAGGACCCGTGGGCGGGTGCTTTTGACACGACCAGAAGGAGACTGTCGAAAAAGATGGTTGCGCGCGGCGGGAGCAAAAAGCAAAGCGCGGCGGGCAAAGCAGGAACAGGAACATCTTCGACTAAAGGGAATAAACAAGCTAGCAGGAAGAACTCCGCCAAGAGCGATTTTGCCCCCGAAGTCGTCGTGAAGAAGGAAAACAATAGTACTACCCGTGGTGACAGAAAGCAAAGCAAAGACAGTAAAATCAAAAAAGCCGCGGGAGAACAACTTGTCGCCTTAAATCAAGGCAATAAGAAGGAAAAGAAAGAAACGAAAGGAAATAAGTGCTCCGCTGCAGGCGCAGCTTCGAACGGAGGTACAGAAGACGGCGAACAAGCAGCGATGGGTGCAGGACAAATGGTACCTGAGGTTGCAGCAGCACTAGAGGACGAAGGCTCGGAAATAAAGAACGAGCATAAGCCAAATTCCCGGAAAAACAGTGCCAAAAGCATATCATCCGCGCAGATGAACAACGCGAAGAAGAAAGCACAGCCGAGGAAGACCAGTACTACTGTGGCGGCGCGAGGGGTCGTGGGCAAGAAAAAGCAAGATGAAAATAATCCGGAAAACGACCGTGATGACGAAATAGAAATTCCGAACTGCCATAGTGGTGACAAGAATAACATCTTGAATGTTGATCCCCCGGACGAGCAGCAGGAAAGTTGTGAGGCTGCAGTGCCAGCTGCGCGGACAGACACGGAGCAACAAGTTGTACTATCACAACGACCCGAAGCTGCAATATCGTCGAGCAGCACGACGACCAGAAAGGCTTCCGCAATGGAGAAGCTTGTGGGTTCCGCAATGGGTGCGATGCAGTCGGTGTTTGGAGGTGTTGGCTCGTCCTCGCGCGGGGCCGCGAGTTCGTCCAGTTCGTCGCAGATGAAAATTCATGCAGCTGCTGGTACGACGAGCTCTGTTGAAGAGGACCACAGCAAGCCACAAGACAACGGCGACCGCGGCGAAGAGGAGAACATAAAAGTGTTATCCAGCGACGAAGACGAGGAGGACGTGGAAGATGAACCACAAGGTGCTGCTGCTGCTGCACACCAAAACAACATAAGCAAGCCAGATCCACCACCCGAGGATCTTGGCAATAAACAGAATTCCCTCGGTCTTGTGGACGACGACGAGGAACTGCATCGAAATGAAGATGTCAGCAGAAGTAAAAAAAGCGTGTTAGAACAGCACATGCAGGAGAAAGAGCAAGAGATTATAGAAATTTTTGGCGAAGAGTGGGCCGAGGAAGATCTGCGACTGCGTGATGCTGCAAAAAAAACTAGAAATAGTACTAACGTTGAGATGAACATGAACTACATGTCGAGCGGAGTCGGAGAAGCTGCTACATCAAAAGATGTTGAACCAGAGTTGTCTAGTGCAACAGCTTTTAAGAAGTGTGCTGGCGGAACGTCAAGTAGTAGTTTTACCAAGGATCAACAACATCTTTCCTCAAACGGAGGAGAAAGTGTTGATAAATCGCCTGCTGGTGACAACTCCTCAGTACTAGCGGAGAAAAAGAACGTAGAGAACACCAGCACAGACCGCGAAAACAAGAATTCTCCTCATGACGTTGATGCCCCTCGGCTGCGGCCCTCTGCGCCGTCCTCCCCTGCTGCCTGTTCGTTGTCCTCAACAGCTCTAGAAGTAGGTGGAGGAATAGACAAACACGCAGCATCCTCTACTGCTTGTTCCTTGAAACGACGGGCACCGCAGCAGGAGGAGGACCAGTTATTTGTTCACGGTGCGCTGGGAACTACAGGGCGAGTAGCGAAGCAACCGCATTTAGAACAACAACTTGTTCTGCCGATCCCTTCCGTTCACGACGACCAGCAAGACCATCTTCCCGCGTCGCTTTATGGCGAAGGAGGCGGTGACAATAACACTGCACGTGTGTACCAGCCGGCCAAAGCAGCAGGGGTCGTCGTTTTCGAGGAAAAAGCGTCCTCTCTTCTAGTACCGGTCAACATCACAGCTGCTCCTGTTGAGACAGGAGATTTGAATGCGGAACCATCGCAGCTGAGTCGCAACCATGAAAATTATGATGCACATCACGCCGCGTCCACCGCTGCACAATCATCTGGGGGAGCAATCGGAGGACACCTCCAAGGCCTTGCGGCACGTGGGAGTTCAAGTTCTTTTGTTCCAGCGGCCGAAAATAACCTGCACGGTGAAGGAACCAGGCTGGTGCAGGAGCAAGGACTGCTAGGAAATACAAGTAGTGAAGCAGACTTGTGGTGTAACAGTTCCACAACAACTCTGCAAGTAGACCACAAAAACATCTCCAGCAGTAGCAGTACTAGCACAACTGCAAATCTTCATCAGTACAACATTAGCAAGAAACAACTTTCTTTAGACGTGCACAACTACGAGGGGTCTGTGATGATGCCGCCCCCGAGTGATCCTCCATTTTCCAGGGACTCGTCCGGCGGGGACCGGTACAGTAGTCGAGGACTCATGGGTGCGGGTGGAGGAGACCGCGCAGGGTCGTCTGCGCCGTTGGGTGGAGGAGGAGGGGGTTCTTCTTCATCGCAGCAATTTCATTACGGCAACAATAACAATGCCACGGGAACATCTTCGCAGTACAACAGCAACGAGGGTACTGCTTTATTTGCGGGTTCTTCGTCCATATGAATTGCAAAAGCATCGTACTAGTAGGAAGTAATTGCATTACAAATTACCTCAGCATGACAAATGGAATTTGTCATGCTGTTTGACCTTGGGATGTAGATTTGTAATGCATAACTGCAATTACTACGAGTACGAGTACGATACTTTTGCACAGGATAGTCCAGCGGGGCAGGCCCGTCGAAAATGGTGATCGACAGCGAGCGGGAGGACAAAGAAGAACAAATAAAAAACCCGAACTATTACAGTGAAAAATGCTTCCACCCCCCAAAGTTGCAATAGTTTGTGATGCGAAGTTTCCAAATGAAAACTCTTTGTCATGCATGAAAGGACTAAGTATGGATCTTTCTGATGCAGAGTCTAGGCGTGTGTAGGATCGCTTGCATGACAATCGCCGCACTTCCTGGGATCTTCTGCAATACAGGTTTTTCCTATTCACGATTGAAAATCTGTGATGCTGATAGATGCAAGAGGGCGAATGTTTTACTTGGAAAGGTTTGCAATACAAATGCTCCCAAGTTCTGGGGTGGGGGGATTTTTCCTTTTGATACGAACTGGGCGAAGCAGTTTTTCGACTACAAGTGGGACCAGGAACTCGCCGACACGATTTTGAATGCTCCCGTCGTGGCTATCAAATGTAAAAATGTCTGGGTCTCAAAGAATGCATGTTTGTCATGCTTGTCTGGCATGACTCTTAAATCTGTCATGCGAGTTACCCAAGAGCTCCATTTTTCTGTGATGCAGAAACGCACTTTGTCATGCAGAATAGGCAACACCTAGAAGCTCAGAAACTTGTGATGCTGAGCCAGCACTTGTGGCCGCCTCATGATACGCCAACCAGCATCACAAGTTTCCAGACCCAGACACTTTTACACTTGATAGTGGCGGTCCTGCAGCAACTGGAATCCATGGAGTGGCTGGGGCACGTCACTGACCGGGATGACGACGTGGGCGGCGACCTGCAAAGCGCTTGTCCCCCAAATAGCATGAGGGATAAGGCCCAGCATAGGGAAAAAGTCGATTCGATGAAGACCGAATTAAACTGGCCCACGAAGTACAACCCCGCGTTCGACGAGCCGTACACGGAGCCACACCTCCGCTATCAAATGCAAAAATGTCTGGGTCTGGAAGAATGCAACTTGTGATGCTACATTTGGATTCCAAAAAAATCTGTATTGCATGAGTAGCAAATAAGGGAATGCAATTTCTGCTACGCTGAGAAGACACTTGTCATGCGGAAGAGGCATCAAGAAGCCCTCAAAAAATCTGTATTGCTAGGGTGTGCATCACGGACATCATGGCTCATGCAAAACGTGCATGACAAGTGTCAGAATTATCTTCCAGACCCAGACACTTTTACATTTGATATCCGCGGACGGCGGACCATCCGGCACGGACGCACCTACTTCCACTACGCCTGCGCGCGCGTGTGCACCGGGGACGAGAAGTGGGTGCAGGCCAACGGCGGGGTGAAGAATATGCTGTGCAAAAGTAGTAGCGTACTCGTACAAATGCAGGTCTTGCATTACAAATTTCTTTGTCAAGGCAAATCAGCATTACAAATTTTATTTCTCATGCTGAGAAAATTTGTAATGCATTTATACGAGTAGGTCGATACTTTTGCAGTTCATAAAGAACGGGAATTTGCAAATCATGAAAAAGCTGTACCAACTGAGTGGCGGCGCGAGGATCCATGCCTCCGGGCAGAAGGGGCAGGTCCGCGGATTGCCGACGAAGTCCGATTTGGGGCTACCAAAACGCTGGAAAAGCCTCGCCAGGCTCGGGGAGAGCGACGAGGGCATGGCGCCGAAGAAAGAACGGAGTAAGATGAACAAGGAACTGATGCAGGTGTACGAGAACAAAGTGAATATCAGTCTTTGCAGGACCATATGGATTGCAAAAATGTCTGGGTCCGGAAGATTTTTGCCAGGTTTGATGTCATGCATAATCTGCATGATGACCCATGAAGTCTGTATTGCATGCACTAGCATCACAGACTTTTACAGGGCTTCCTAATTATGCCTATGAGAAATGCCCTCTCCACCGCGTAGCACAAACTGGAGTCCTGTTGCTGGTCACGCAATACAATTTGAATTTTTTTGTTTGAATCCAGAGACAGCATCACAAGTTTAGAATCTTCC